CTTGGAGAGAGCGAGACACTGCGGGGGGGTGGGGTGGGGGGTGTCCAGACCCTTAGCGAAGAGCACAAGCGGCTGCATTTTGCAGTGGGGCGGAGGGGGCCGGGGGGTTCTGTGCTGGAGCTGGAAGCCCTGCTGCTAGGTACAGGGTCATAAGAACATAAGAAAGGCCGTACCGGGTCAGACCAAAGGTCCATCTAGCCCAGTATCCGGTCTACCGACAGTGGCCAATGCCAGGTGCCCCAGAGGGAGTGAACCTAACAGGCAATGATCAAGTGATCTCTCTCCTGCCATCCATCTCCATCCTCTGACAAAGAGGCTAGGGACACCATTCCTTACCCATCCTGGCTAATAGCCATTAATGGACTTAACCTCCATGAATTTATCCAGTTCTCTTTTAAACGCTGTTTATAGTCCTAGCCTTCACAACCTCCTCAGGCAAGGAGTTCCACAAGTTGACTGTGTGCTGCGTGAAGAAGAACTTCCTTTTATTTGTTTTAAACCTGCTGCCTATTAATTTCATTAATAGGGGTCTGGGGGGGGATCTTTCCTTCTTGGAGCGATAAACCCCCTGCGGTTCTCACCGCGCAGGACAGGATCCCTGCCCTCCGCGGCTCGGCGGGGTCTCGCCTGCGCCCCTCACCCCGGGATCTGGGCTGCTCTCTCTACCACACTGCGGCAGCTCGGCCAGAGCCTCCCGTGCCAGCTGGGACCTGCCGAGCCACTCCCGCCCCACGGTGCCGTCCGGCACGGCCTGCGTTTCGGACCAGGCGGGTGGGGGAGACGCCCCATCCTGCCGCCCGACCCCTGCTCCATCTGGGATCGGGCCCAAGAGCTGACGAGGCCCCAGCCCCCTGCCTGGCTCCACCCGCGGGTCCATTTTCTTTGGTCAGTTAAAAGGCAGATTGCGTTTGGCATCCCTGATCAGTGCCGCAGGGCGGGGGGGGGGGGGTGACACCCCCATCCACAGCCTCCCCCCAGCGTTCACCCCCACGGCTTTACACCGAAGAGAACGGAAGAGATGCGAGTGCTCAGAGCCACACAAGCGAAGGCTGGTGCTGCCGGGGGCGGGCGTGGGCTGGACCCTGCTGGGAAGTGGGGGGCTGCCAGGGGGACTAAGAGCTGCTCCTGTCGTCTTTCAAGTTGTGCCTGCAAGGTCAAGGGGGAAGAGCGTGAATGGGTGGGCAGCTGCCTCCAGAACCGCCCCTCAGCCCAGATCCCGCCCCCATGGAGCAGGTGCCTTTGCTGAGCCGAGCTGGGCGCCCGCTGCTTCTGGCCACAGCGCTCGGGGTCCCCGATGCAGCCGAGGGACCCCCCCATCCTTCCTGGGGAGCTGGAGATTTTTCAGCAGGACATGGGGCCCCATTCCGGAGGGGGCCCCGCCCTGGCTGGGGCCCTGCGCTGCTCTGCCTGGGGGAAGCCGCCCCACAGCCACCTTCCCACCCTGGGGTCACAGCGATCAGGGAGCCCCACTGGCCCTGGACTTCGCCAGGGGGACCCACCTGGTCCTGCCTGCTCTCCCCAGAGAGGGGGAGCATTCCCAGACCCCCCCCATTACTGACCCCCCCCCACTCACCACTGGGCCTTGCCCTGGGCCAGGTCCATCTGCGACAGGTCAAGATGCACCTGGGGGGTAAGAAGCAGGAATCAGGTGATTGTTCTCCCCCCCTTTTATCTGAGCCCCACTCGAAACATGACAGCCCAGCGGTAACCATGGCGCTGCCCCCCCTTACCTTCCCCAGGGGCTCCTTCTCCCGGGACATGAAGGAGACGCTGTTTTTGACGCAGGCCTCTAGCTTCCTCCGTGAGGCCTCCTCCAGGGGCAGTTCCCACTCGAACCTGCCGGGGCGGGGGGAGACAGAGGTGTGAGGGGAGCCTGGGACCCACACCTGTGGGAAGAGGCCTCCCCCGCCCCCAGCCCCATCAGTGCCCCCCATCACCTCTCATTGAACTCGGGGTTCAGGGTCCTTTTCCGCACGGTGGTTTTCCTCTTGGTCACGCGGTTCTTGTCGGGCAGGAGGATCAGGGAGACGTAGGGGTCGGGAATGTCCTTCGAACTGGCCCTCAGCTTCCTGGGGGGGCGGGGCAGGGGGACACACACAGCGCGAGGGGGTCAGAGCGCGGCAAAGCTCTGCCCCCCCGGCCGGGCCGGCCACACCGCCGCCGCAGAGACGTGCCCAGAACGCCAGAGGGGCACGGACGGGGGCTGGCGCCCAGCTCTTGGGGGGCCCCGTTGGGTGCCCAGCCTGCGTGGGGATGTGGGGTGACCCTAGAAGCTGAACCACAAAGGCCCAGACCTTACAACTGCTGGTAGGGAGCTCCAGGCGGGGGGACGATGGGCACCCGGCACCTCCCACCAGCTCCGGCCAGTGGTGGGAGCCCTTGGAAGCCCTGGGGTCAGGCCTGAGTTGGTCACCTGGGAGTGGGGGGTGTCCGGCAAGCTCCACGCAGGAGCTCAGAGCAGCTGGTTCCATAACGAGGGGCTGAACCAAGCCCCCCGCTGGCCAAGAGGAACTTAAGCTCGTACAGGGCAGCTGGAGAACCCAGGCGTCCTGGGAAACCTCCCCCCGCCCTGAAAGGGGTCCCGACATCTCCGCATCGCCATGCCCGGCCCCCCCATTACCTGCAGGAATGTACGATGACAACTAGCTTGCGCTCGTCCATGTGGTACCAGGCTGTGAGTTGCAGCTGGCCCAGGGGGCCCTCCGCCAGCTCCGAGTTACTGCGCCGGAGAGAGGGGGCAGCGTTACGGGGGGCACCAGAATCCTGCCCGTTTGGGTGGGTGCATTATTAGCAGTATTACGGTAGCACCTAGAGGCCCCAGCTGAGTGTCTTTATGACATGAGCTTTATTAGCGGCATTATGGTAGGACCACTGTAGTGTGCC